TAAAAGTTAAAATGGATCTGAGACCGAAAAAATGACCGACATGTGGACCGATATCCGATATTTGAAGGCTCGCAATCGAAGCCGATATTAACAATAAATTTTCGGTTGTTTCATAAGTTATTAAGAATATCGATCATCTATAATCATTTTCAAGCCCCGTGTGTAGGAATATAAGATGTGGGAAATATGTGACACAGAATAAGCGTGTGGAATGTGGGATATGATATATAGAATGACAATATGAAATATAAAATATGGGATATAGATATGGCGTATGGGATATAAGATACGGAATTTGGGGTAAGAAATATGTGGAATATAATGCGTAGAAATATAAAATATGGGATTTAATTGAGTAAGACGTGGAATGTGGAATACAGGACGAGTTATGAGATGTAAAATATGAGATATACCGTGGAATATCGGGTGTGAGATGTAGAGTATTGCGTAAAAATAATGGGACATGGTGATGGGGAATGTAGAGCACGGAACATGAGACACTAGATCTAGAAATATAAGACACAGAATACGGGATATAGAATATAGAATATGGGACACGAGATATAGGATGCGAGATATGGAACGTGTGAATGTAGAATGAGGGATGTGAAACATATAAGACGTGAAATGTGGAATGTTGAACGTGGTATAAAATACGAAATATGAGAAATATGAGAACGTGGGATGTGAGGTATTTAAAAGAAAATTATAGTTCTTTCATTCAGTTCAAATTTTCCGTATAATATCTTTTATCAGACACAAGGTCAATAATCATAAAATTATAGACCAACTTATCCACGTTACTCCCTTTTTTCCTACGTCGAATGCTAGTTTTTCACCGTAAAGCGACATTTCAAATGGTAAAAATAATTTATCCGATAAACTGTTTAACACTAAACGTACCGGCATTTTACATATATCTATCTTGACCATAAGTGGTCAAATGACCCCTCGCGGTACACAAGGTATGCAAAGAATTTTTCTCGGTAAAAAAAATCAGCTAAGAGAAAAACAGAAAACGAGGAAATTGAATAATCAGATATTAAGAATTTACAAAAAGTATCAGATTAGCGAAAGGAACAACAACGAATGTACGATTTTAAAGTAAATTTTGAAAAGGGGCCATTTGGACCCCGCTTGGTACGTTTAGTGTTAAACACACTGGTACACTGTTAGTTCGAGATATTCATTGACGAAAGAATTTCGGAATTTGTTGTTGCAGTTGGCTGCGATCGCTTTGAACTTTGGTGTGCTGGTCACCGCGGTGTACGAGGGTATTTATGCTCGACGAGGCGGTGATCCGACGAAGATTAGAGTTGTCAGTGCAGCCACCATAAATAACCCCGGCTACCGGGAACACCAACCCACAAACGGTAAGTTCGCTAGACACGTGATCTCTAGTTTAATTTCATTAATTAACTTGCGTCAGTGATTATGCCCCACAGATGTCAAGCGTCGTTTAAATTGAAAATTGAAAATCGCCACGAAATTGGATTTCGCATTGCGCGTTAAAAAGATATTGGACTGATTTTCATTCGTCTACGTTTTTGAAAAATTTAAAGGAAACAGTAAATCATTCATATACAAATAATAATAATAATAATAATAATAATAATAATAATAAT